TACTATTTGATTAGGTACATATATACTCAGAAAGAGTGCTGTTCAGTACAACTTTCTGCAAGGATGAAAATATTTTAAACCTGTCTTGTCCAATACAGTAGCCACATGTGGCTACTGAGCAACTGAAATGTGGCATGTGTGACTGAGACAAATTGACTTAAATTTTATTAATTTTAATCTAAATATAGACAGCTATAGGTAGTTAGTGGCTACTGTTTTGGACTATGCAGGTCTAACACATTTCCCTCTTCTACAAACATAAACTACACGTTTAGAAATGATATAGCTTATATTATCATGGCAATCAATGATTAAACATGGTTTTGGTCATGGCCCTTCATATGTCATTATTTCTTTCTTTTTTTTAAAGACGGGGTTTCACCATGTTGGTTGGGCTGGTCTTGAACTCCCGACCTCAGGTGATCCACTCGCCTTGGCCTCCAAAGTGCTTGGATTACAGGCGTGAGCCACCACCCCGGGCCTTATGTCATTATTTCTGAAACACTGTCTTTTCTATCATCTATCTGAAAGAACACAGTACAAGAGAAAATAATTTAAAGAAACGTGTTCTCAGAATAGGACCTCATATTACGCAGAATAATAGTTTACATTATATATATGACTGCAATCATAAACTACCACAATTGGCAACTGCATGCTGAAATTAGAATTGAGTGAACATAAACCACTATGTGATTAAAAAGTTTTAATCACAAAATGGATATTTATTGAGTTGCTCATTGAATATCTTGGCTACCAATGGATATTCTGAGTTGTCAAGTTAGTTATAAATTAAATAAAATCCACAACCTGAAGAATCTTAGAATAGAAAAGAGCTGAGGAGCTCTCTCTCTTGCTTCATCTGTTATGACAGGTAATCAAGCTAGTTAGCTTTAATGCAAGGAAAAGAAAAAACAATACAAAACTTCCATTACTATCCTAAAAGGTAGAAATTCTAGCCTGGGCACCATAGGGACATCTTGTCCCTACTAAAAGTAAAAACAATTAGCTGGGAGTCCTGGCATGCACCTGCGGTCCCAGCTACCTAGGAGGCTGTGCTAGGAGAATTGCTTGAGCCCAGGAGGTCAAGACTGCAGTAAGCCATGATCATACCATTGCACTCCAGCCCGGAGAGTGAGACCTTGCTCAAAAAAAAAAAAAAAAAAAAAAAGAAAAAAGAAAAAAAAGGCAGAAATTTGCCTTGTATGTTAAAAGTTATAAATCTGCTTTGTTCTAATACCCTTCTTAGTATAAACACTGGCAAAGAAGATATTTAAGGAAGAAACAGCATCAAATGTTGCATTTAGATCCCATAGAGAGATGTAATTCTAATCAAAGTTTTACATGCAACTCAGTTTGCTAAACAAGGGAAACGAGGGAATCTCTTTTAACTTGTAAGTCAATTACTTACCAAGATATACTTGGGATCCTTCTAATGAAGCTCCTCCCAAGGAACTATTCATATGTTCATAAAGCTCCTATAAAATATAGATTGAATTTTGGATCTGAATTAGAAATATGTTGATCAGAAAAAAGTTGGTTCCTTAACTGAGGTAGTTTGTTCTGCTAGGCACTAAATTTAAAAACAACCAAACCTCTCTGCAACCTTGCCAGTTCTCATTTCTTCTCTTCTGGATATGAACAATATCAGAAGAGATGTGGGTAGTGAGTATGAACAGCTACTCAGGGTATTCCTTTCTCCTTCTACATGCTAGAGCATGATTCATTCATATAGTGGTATGAATTCCTAGTATAAATTCCCTCTGCTTCCTTGCTAACTCCATTTTCAATAAACTAATCATGTGGTTTTTCTGGTCTATGTATTGGGAGCTAGGAATGGGAAGCCTGATATATAAAAATACTGTGCAGTTTATTAATAAGATAAGCAAATTTATGGAATTAATGCCATGGCAAAAGGGCCATTATCCACTAAGAGAAGCATTATTGTTACAGTTATTTGTAGTCATTATTTCCTCAAAAAAAAAAAAAAAAAAAAAAAAAAAAAAAAAAAAAAAAAAAAGAAAAGTTTGGTTAGATTTAGTATTTGGGCAGATCCTGGTCCTTCAACGTTTTAATGCAAATGTGTATTCACAGAATGCCTTTCTTAAGCTAATAAATAATTATCCTTCACAGTATTACTGACAAGATTTACTTGATTCATGAGTCTATCTTTAGCCAAACACATATATAGAGGGGTAAAATGTTACCTTTAGAATGGAAATTTGGGAAAAATCCTTCTCTTCAAAATATGCATGTGTAATGAGTTGAAGTTTTGCTTGAAGTAAGCCATAAAGAGGCTTAAAGGAATAAAGAAATTACCATTAGTTTGATAACAGTAAAACAAACAGAACACCACAACTTTCTCATTTGAATAGAACAGGGAGAAAAAAAGTAACTATCAACTTTAGTGCTGTATTATTAATAGCTGAAAGCCATGAAGATAGCTGTTCTTCGGATACAGTGAAAAGTACCTGAAACACAGTACAGTGCTTAAGAGTGTGGGCTCAGACTTGCTGGGCCTGGCTCCATCACCCAGCTCTCGGAACTTAACCCTCTCCCCCTCTGCTTGCTGATCTGAACATGGGCATATGAAAAGAATACATCATATTTGACTGTTTTAAGGATTAAACAACAGGTAAAAGCACTTGGTAAAAAGTATCTGACACAAAGAAAGCACCTACACATCCGCTGTTACTATTATGTAAAACATATTCTAATTCTGCACACCGTTTTGCTGGCCTGTAGCAACATTTAATCATCCTTATAGCAGCCTGTTTTTATATTATTTTGAACATTCATGATTACATTTAAGTTCATTTCCCATTTTTGTCCTCTGTGGAGGCTTACAACAACTAGCTTGTGTCCTTTATCATAATATTGTTTTATATACTTGAGCAAAGTTATCCCTTAATCCTTATTTCTCTATTTAGGATCTTCTACCATTTTCATCTTTTTATTATAGCATTCTTTTCCAGATGTTTTCTCATGTCTATGTCCATTTCAGGATGCAATGACCAATAATGTATATATACTCTAATTATTAAAAACAAGTAATATTGGAAGAGTATCTCCCAGTATCCCTGTTAATATATTATGATTTCCATCAAAGTATGAAATCATTTTACTTTTATACATAGACTTCTTGAAGTCTAGACCAGAAGAACCACAACCAGACCTTTTGAGTAAGCTACTCTCTTCCTATCCCTTCTGTCTGTTTTAGCAACAGATAAAGCTGATTTTTTTTACCCTAATTTTATCACTTAGTAGTTACATGTCTGTAGAATTACACATTTTTTCTCTGAGCTATGTCTTTATTTATAAAATGAGAACAGTAGTAAATATGTCTCAAGGTTGTTATGAGAATGGAAGTGACAATTACACATAAAAAGTGTCTGGTACAGAATTAATGCCTGATATATAGGCACTCAATAAATGCCATCTATTATTGTAATTGTCCTTTGAAGAATGATTACTCAGGAAGCCTCTTAACATGTTGTACTTCAATATCTGGTACTCTTATGCTTCGGTCATCTGGTCCAATATAAAAAAGCCATTCACTAATGTCTATTTTTCAGGCTACTCTTCTCAAAGCTGTGTACAGGGATCAGATGAATAATCTATCAATTTTCTGACATTAGGGTCCTTTATAATAGCCCTTCCTTTCCTAGGAGACTATTCTTGGCTTATATTTAAAATTACTGTCTTAGAAGAAATATTCTCATCCTCAAAATTTTATTTTGAATGAAATAAGATTTGGCTGAGCATAGTGGCTCATGCTACAATCCCAGAATTTTGTATGGCTGAGGCAGATGGATTGCTTGAGCTCAGGAGTTTGAGACCAGCCTAGGCAATGTGGTAAAACCTCATCTCTACCAAAAACAGAAAAAAGCCAGGTATGGTAGTTCATGCCTGTGGTCCCAGCTACTCAGGAGGCTGAGGTGGGAGGATCCCTTGAGCCTGGAAAGCAGAGGTTGCAGTAAGCCAAGGTCATGCCACTGCACTCCAGCCTGGGCAACAGAGTGAGACCCTGTCTCAAAAGAAAAAAAAAAAAAAAAGATTTTGGTAAAACAAAAATGGATAAATGAAATATATCAGCTACCTCATTTTGTTTACGTATCAACTTACTTTCCAATAGCTATAAGATCTCCCTTCTCTTACCGAGTCTTGCATAGAGGTGCAAATGAAAACTGCTGAAAGGGAAAGAGAATGAGGAGATGCCAGGGCATAAATAATTTTAATATATCATTTAAATCTCTTCTTATTCTAATAGTGCCTTAACCTTAAAGAAAGATCTGCCATGAAGGTTTAACAAAATGAATGAGTTACTTGTTCTCTTACCAGCTTGCTTAGAACACAGACACTTTTCTGAACAGTCTCTCTGGTGACATCTGCTTGCCTTACTTTCAATGCCTATTATAAACAAAGAGCAATTTATCAGAAATATTTCGTAGCAATATTTTGTAATATAAAAATGGCAATTACATAGAAGGAATTTCTTGCGTATTTAAATTAAAAAATTTATTAAGACTCTCAGGAAATATTAGACAAATAAACGTCAGCTTGGGCCTACGTGACAGAATCTGTGGTAGGCAGTGGGAATGTAATAGCGAAGGGACAATCCTGAGTCTCAAGGAATTTATAATCTGATGCAGAATACTTTATGTATAAGACACAAGGTCCAAATCAACCATTCAATGCAAATCAATCACTATTGATTCTGGTTAAAAATGGGCAGTCCTTTCAGAGACCACTGTTTCTGGTGAGAAGGCACTAGTTTAAGAGATGACAAAAAGCCAGAAGCAGTGGCTCATGCCCATAATCTCAGTACTTTGGGCAGGCGGATCACCTGAGGCCAGGAGTTCGAGACCAGCCTGGCCAACATGGTGAAACTCCGTATCTACTAAAAATACAGAAATCAGTCAGGTGTGGTAGTGCAAGCCTGTAATCCTAGCTACTTGGGAGGCTGAGGCAGGAGAATTGCTTGAACTCTGGAGGCAGAGGTTGCAGTGAGCTGAGATTGTGCCACTACACTCCCGCCTGGGTGACAGAGTGAGACTCTGTTTCAAAAAAAAAAAAAAAAAAAAAAGATGACAACAACAGACAGCTTGTTCTCCAGAGATGAAAGAACTGTCAGCAGTTTTGTTAAGTTAGTTGTTCCACGTTGCCTGGAAATTTGTATTGGCGCCCGGTGCCAATTAATGAGCACATAGCTCATTAATTGTGAGGATGACTATGAGATTTCTATAGTCCTCTGCTAGTAGAGGGTGAGTCTTGATTTGATCAACCTCAGGCAAGGCTGTGAAGGAAGGAAGAAAGACTTCTCCTCTAGTATACTGCCCGATTACCTTCTTGGATCTGTCCTGAGGACCAAGGGGCCCCTGTGTTTTCAACTGATGGCTGATGAACAGACTTTAAATTAGCTGTGGAGCAGAATTCTTCCTTCTGATTGGATTCATCCACTGTCTCACCATTCAGAGGAAGTTAAAGTCTTTCTCCTAGGCTTGAGGTCCCTCCAATAACAGGTTTATCTGTCTGGTTCTATTGCCTATTATTTATTGAGAAGGACAACAATCATTGGAAAAATGGGCAACTCTAATGTACTCTGGAGTGGGTCTGAACCAGGGAGTGGGGAGACAGGCAATATTTAAAGGCTATGCAGAGCATAAGGGCTGTTAAAACAGCACTGATGGATAAGACCCACGTGGGAGAAATAATTTTACTACTGCTTACATGACCTATGGGTAATAAAAAGTATTAAAAGGAACAGATTTCTAAGAACAGGCAGCAGCTTAATTCATCTCATATATAAGTATGTAAAGGTAATAGTGTAACAGTGAAATAGCAAAAGAGCATAACTCCATTTTTTAGGCAACCTTTCCCCATTCCTTCAAATAGGCAAGGATAATTTTAGAGCACAAATATGCCAAAATGGCAATTGTGTAGGTTTAAAAACTCTGGGATTTAAAAAGTGTGTAAACAACTATGTTTTGTTAAACATTTATAGAAGCATTGTGGCCTGACCAATGACAAAGACGCACCCAACCTCCTCTGGCCCTCATTGGTACCCAGATGACTGTGTTTCACCTCTTGATACCAAAACCCTCCTCTTCTCCACAGCCCTCTCCCATAAAAATCCTCCAGCCAGCCTGCAAATTTTCAGATGCTACTTTAGAATGCTAGGTCACTATCTAGCTGGCTTTCCAAATAAATCTACTTTTCCTCCCAGCAACTCTAGTCTTTCAAGCGGCGTGCAGCCAAACCTGGGTTCGGTTACAATAGTATATGAAAACATCAACTGCTCAAAGCTGCCAGGCTAACTAACTCTTATTCTCAGGTTTCTTTTATCTCTATTTTATTTTCTCAGCTTCATTCAGTTATAATTGACTAAAACTGAATATACTTAAGGTGTATGTTATTATTTGATATACTATCGTTAGCTTTAGATTCAGTTATTCATGACATAACACGGGTTTTCCAGGTTCCTGACCCTGTGTTTAGAGGGTTATTTCATGGTAGTTAACTACTTTGGGTATCCTGGAATTTACACCTGTAGTTCATGTTAAGTGGGTCAGGGGAAAAATACACACACAGAGAAAATGTGGTAGAATATTAACAATTGTTGAGTCTAGGTGTTGGATATACAGGTATTCAATGTACTATGTTTTTAATTTATCTGCATGTTTGAAATTTCCATCATAACAAGGTAGAAAAAGATTTACTAATTATTCACCTGAGGAAGCTTTTAAAACTTTTAATTGTTGAGGCTCAAATCTCAGAGATTCTGATTCAGTCACTAGGAGGAAAGGCTAGGTACAGATTTAAAAAAAAAAAAAAGTCTCTAGGTAATACCGATTAAAAAATCATTGTTTTAGAGCAGTGGTGCTCAATCTTGACTACGCAGAAGAATCAGCTGGGGAGCTTTTAAAACATTCCCACCTCCCATGTCCAGATCATCAAATCAGAATCTTTTGGGTTGGGGGCAAACCCAGCGATCTTAGCTTTTAAAGCTCTCCAGATGATTGCAATGTGCAGCTGAGATTGAGAACCACTCACTACTTTAGAGTATTAATGACCTTTAGAGACGAAAGAGCTTTTCACTCATCCAGATTATCTCTACCACAAAAAAACAGTCCTACAAATAAGTAAATCATGAAAGGTGGGGTTACCATCTTGGCTTATTTGAATTTATTAATTAGAGCTTATTATAGTAGGTCAGGCATTAAGCTAGCAGGTAGTTTAAAAATAATCAAGGCTGGGCATGGTGGCTCCTGTCTGTAATACCAGCACTCTGGGAGGCTGAGGTGAGCAGATCACTTGAGCTCAGGAGTTCAAGACCAGCCTGAGCAACATGAAGAAACCTGGTATCTATAAAAAGTACAAAAACTAGCTGGGCATCGTGGCATTCGCCTGTATCCCAGCTACTTGGAAATCTGGGCTTGGAGGACAGCTTGAGCTTGAGGTAAAGACGGCAGTGAGCCGAGATCTTGCTACTGCACTCCAGCCTGGGCAACAGAGTGAAGACTCTTCCTCAAAACAAAACAAAACAAAACAAAAACTTAGAGATAATTAAAACAACTTATGAGTAGTTGGGAGTCCCTGTAAGCACACTCTACTACTTCTGAAATGCTGCTTAAAAAAAAAGGCACAGTGGTGCACACCTGCAGTCCCAGCTATTCAGCAGGCTGAGGCAGGAGGATTTCTTGAGCATAGGAGTTCAAAACTAGCCTGGGCAAAATAGCAAGACTCTGTCTTTAAAAATAAAAAAACTAAAAAACATACAAACACTATCACTCCATTTTTCTAAGTTATATGCCAAACACTAGAAACAGAACATTCACAGACGTCTTGAAATGTAAATAAATACAGTATTTCAAAGACAAATTGATAATTTAGGTATCACTATCTAAAAACAATGTACAAAATATTATGATGCAAATATAAGCATAGCCACCAATGTCAACTTATTAAAATGTGTCTGTGAATAAATTGGTACTATTGAAAAAACAGCTACAAATTGTATACAAACATCTAAAACAATATTATAATAGGCACCACTGACTGAAAAATAAAGACTGTTTCTCTAAGTGTCCAACATCTAAGAAAGGACTATGGAGTTTTTTGTTTTCACCATTAACTATCATACCTTGGCTTCAATTTGTCGATAGCAAGAGATACCGTATACTGTGGCTCCATATCCATTTCTGGGTGGCAAGTGAAAAAACACAGTATCTAAGAGATAAACAGAAAAATGTAACTACTAAGGTGAACTATCCTTATTAATAAAATATGAAGTTATCATAATGCAGTCATTAACACGAAAATTATAAACAAGAAATCCAAGTCATACTTATTTCTAGGACCACAACCACCGGTTTCCTAGAATTTTTCTAATTGCCTTATGGTAAATACTCATCACAAAAAGCCCAAGAGGCTGAATTGTAACAGGTCAAACTGAGACTACAATTACAGAAAATAGTTAATCTTTAGGGAATCGTTCTAGATTAAGAGAAAGTAGACAGTCACAAAAGCCAACAGCAGGCTGGGTGCAGTGGCTCACACCTGTAATTCCAGCACTTTGGAAGGCTGAGGTGGGTGGATCACCTGAGGCTGAGAGTTCAAGACTAGCCTGACCAATATGGAGAACCCCCATCTCTTCTAAAAATACAAAATTAGCCAGGCATGGTGGCACATGCCTGTAACCCCAGCTACTTGGGAGGCTGAGGCAGGAGAATTGCTTGAACCCAGGAGGCGGAGCTTGTGGTGAGCAGAGATTACACCACTGCACTCCAGCCTGGGCAACAAGAGTCAAACTCCGTCTCAAAAAAAAAAAAAAGCCAACGGCAACACATGAAACTTGAATGAATCCAAGAAATTTGGGGGACAACTGAGAAAATTTGAATATAGACTGGATATTAGACAGTATTACGAAATTACTGTTAAATCTCTTAGCTGTGATAAGGGTACTGGATGTTACACTGGGGAACAATCTCATTCTCAGATCTTAAGTATTTAGAGAAAAAGTGTCACAATGTTTGCAACTACCTTTCAGATACTACAGACAAAATTATTCACATACACAAATATAAAGAAAATCTGTAGAACATTCACTATAATCTTTTTTTTTTTGATGGAGTGTCACAGTCACCTGGGCTGGAGTACAATGGTGATCTTGGCTCACTGCAACCTCCACCTCCTGGGTTCATGTGATTCTCCTGCCTCAGCCTCCCAAGGAGCTGGGATTACAGGTGCACACCATCACACCTGGCTAATTTTTTGTAATTTTAGTAGAGAAAGGGTTTCACTATGCTGGCCAGACTGATCTTGATCTCCTGACCTCGTGATCCACCCGCCTCAGCCTCCCAAAGTGCTGTGATTACAACCATCACACCTGGCCAACATTCACTATAATCTTAATTCACATGTTTACAGCAGTCCTTTTGCTGGACATGGTGGCACACCCCAGCTACTGGGGAGCTGGAGGAGGAGAACTGCTTGAGCTCAGGAGTTTGAGACCAGCCCGGGCAACCCAGTGAGACTTTGTCTCCAAAAAAAGAAAAGAAAAGCAACAACAACAACAAGATTTTTGTAGAGCATCAAATACCATGGTAAAACACAGTCCTTCATTAAGTCAGGCAAAGTACTCATTTATAGGGTGGCAGGAGATTCAGTAAGAACTTCATAGTCCTACTTTCTTTGACGGTGTTAACATGCTCTGCATGCAAGCAAGCAAGCAACCTTGCAAGCGGAGTACTTGTGACAGCAATGGTTCCAGAGACACAAAAACAATCCCAGCTGTTTCTAGGTGGGCCCTGGAGTACTAACCTAGTACTGCAAGTATGCAGCTAGAGTCCCAGGCAATGTGCTGGTAAGCCCCCTGGTTTGCCTCTTAGGAGTCTGAAGTGTAGATGTAGGAGGAACTGCTCCCAGTAGTGGCTGTCCTGCTCTCGCTAATCACTTGGTAGAAGGCTGGCCAAGGTTCACCAGCCAAGGACAGTGTAAGCCTGGCACTCCTTCAGAGGTGTTCTAGTGAATGACTAGTCATCCCTAAACAAGCATGTAAATATTTTATAAATAGTTGTAATAGGCTGAAGGGCTTTAATTTCTCAAAGTATTTAGAACCTAAGATATCTTGGCAAATTTTTAAAAAAATGGCACCTAACTGCTTCACTGTCTTGTTACATACCTTCCTGGTAGTTGTGTGCACCATCTGGTAAAGCAAGGAAGGGCAAGTACTTCCATTCTTCAGGTAAAGTGTGGCTGTCATGTCCATCTCCTGGAATCAGGGGCGGGTAAGAGAATTCAACCTAAAATAGTAAAGAATATTAGCCAAAAGGTGGTTGATCAAAGCAGCATTTTATTCTGACAGGTAAAAATGTTTTTAAACTCTGAATGACAGAAGTTGGGATAAGCCACACTGTATAATGCTATTTGATACCACCAGCAAACCTATGGCATAGAAGAGGAAAAAAGAAAAAAGCAGTAAAAGGAGGAAAAGTTTATAAGCCTTTCTCCACTTTCTGATTTAATGGCTGTCAAACTTTAACGTGCATAAAGGGTAGTGGGGCTGGTGATTGCATTACAGATTGAGATTTGGGAGTTGTCATCAAACAGATGGTAATTGAAGCCATAGGGCCCTGAGGAAAACCAACAGTAGAGGTCCAAAAGAGGAGCCCCCAAGTTGAGCCAAGAATCAATTTTAGAACCATTCTTTAATGTGAAAAAGATATGATGACTCATCTTTCTACACTTCAATGAAATCAGGCTGCTGCTTAAATCACATGAGAGCCAACCGTAAAAGGGCTTTAAAAATGATTATTAAAAATTTTTTTGGTCCACTGAATTTAAGATTTGTGATTATTTCTAACAGGGGATCCAATTCCATATTTAAAATGTTTAAAAATACAAAAAAAAAAAAAAAGAAAAAAGAAAAAAAAAAGGACTGTAGGGTAAAAAGACTGCCTCTCACCCTTGACATCACCACCCCAGCAACCCAGTCCCTGCTCCCATTTCCAGAAGCAATCAATGTTTTCCATTTAGAAGAACTCTTTAAAGGTTTAGATTAAGGAGTGAAACTTTTCTTTCACAGCTCAATCATTTAAAATCAACTGAAAAATTGGCTGGGCATGGTGGCTCATGCCTGAATTTCCAGCACTTTGGGAGGCCAAGGTGGGTGGATCACCTGAGGCCAGGAGTTCAAGACCAGCCTGGTCAACATGGTGAAACCCCATCCCTACTAAATATACAAAAATTAGCCAGGTGTGGTGGCATGAGCCTGTAATCCCAGCTACTTGTGGGGCTGAGACAGGAGAATCGCTTGAACCCAGGAGGCAGAGGCTGTAGTGAGCAGAGATTGTGTCACTGCACTCCAGCCTGGGCAAGAAGAGTGAGACTCAGTCTCAAAAATAAAAAAATAAATGAAGGTGAGGCATAAATAATCCCCAATTACAACTGAAGGTGCGGCATAAATAATCCCCAATTACATTTCTCTGTATCTTCTCTATACATTAATCATACAGGTTTTATCCTAATTTGCTTTGTTGGACAATTTTCTAAAAGTGTGAGGGAAGGCAGGATGCGACAATGAGGTAATACAGACACAAACTCAAAGCTGATGTTATGACGTTGGCAATTTTAGAGTTAAAAACGTAACCAATTCAGAATTATTTTTAAACACCAAAAATAAAAGCAAGAAAATAAATGATCATATTTTATATAATCAATACCAAAGTTCCATATATAGTATTTACCATGAGGAGGTCTGGTAATTATCACTAAACAATCTTTTTGAAAACCATTAAATTTTGATGTATTATTTATTT